TAACCCTGTTATCCATACGCTTAACACCTGTGACTAATTTTATGACCAACTCCTTTGCTTGGCGTGAGTTGGTCGTGGAGATTTTATCAGAACAAGGACTATGTTACAACAGTAACAGTTTTCCATATTCAATTCCAGACCTTCCTTTCGTGGTTGTCTTCTAAGCGACACGACAATGGCTCGCTAGCTGCTGTCACTACACGTAGCTTTACATGATCTCTAGTACTGTTAACGAAGAAATAACATTACAAAGATAAAGATAGAGGTTTAGCGGGACAGCTTCTGATGTTAATATCTTTTTTGTAATGTTTTGCCTTCAAGTTTTGCTAACGTTTCCACCATGAAATGATTTTGTTAGCGTACGTACTTTTCACGTACAATCAATTTACTTAATACTCTATTAATTTGTAACAATAATAGCTTTTTAATAAAATAAACTTCAATATAAATTTTAAAAAAATGACAGTTTGTAAATATTAAGAAAACGTTTTGAAACTTCCTCATCATCATCATCATATCAGCCGTAGGACGTCCACTGCTGAACATAGGCCTCCCCCATTGACTTCCACTTCGACCGGTCGTTAGCGGCCTGCATCCAACGCGTCCCTGCGAACTTGGCTAGGTCGTCCGTCCACCTTGTGGGAGGCCTTCCTACGCTGCGCTTGCCGTCACGTGGTCTCCACTCGAGAACCTTTTTGCCCCAACGGCCATCGGTTCTTCGAGCTATGTACCCTGCCCACTGCCACTTCAGCCTGCTGACTCGTCTCTATGTCAGTAACTCTAGTTCTTCTACGGATCTCCTCATTTCGGATTCGATCTCGTAGAGAAAACCCGAGAATTACCCTATCTATAGCGCGCTGTGCGACCGCGAGCTTCCTTATGAGGCCCATAGTCAGAGACCACGTCTCGGCACCGTAGTGTAGCACGCACTGATTAAAGACTTTCGTCTTTAAGAACTGTGGTAGTTTGGACGTAAAGACGCTGCGCAATTTTCCGAACGCAGCCCAGCCGAGCTGGAGTTCGTCAATTGACCTCCTTCTCGAAGTTGGATTTGCCTTGTTGGACCATTTGTCCCCGATAGACATAGCTATCAACAACTTCGAGTGGCGAGCCTCCCAGAATACGGGGGTGGGTGTCACATGGACATTTGACATGACTTTGGTCTTTTCCATATTCATTTTGAGGCCCACCCGCTGAGAGACTCTATTGAGGTCTTCGAGCATTGTGCTGAGTTCCTCCAAAGACTTTGCCATGACTACGATGTCACCGGCAAACCGAAGGTGAGTGATGTATGCCGTTGATATTGATGCCACATCCTTTCCAATCCAGAACCTTGAAGGCGTCTTCCATTGAATTGGTAAAGAGTTTCGGAGTGATAAATATCCTTGCCTCACTCCCCTCTGCAACGGAATAGCCTCCGTGCTCTGATCCTGTGCTCGGACCGACATGGTGGCGTTTTTATACAAGCACTTCAACACTTCGATGTACCGATAGTCAATGTGGCACCTATGAAGAGACCGCAGCACTGCCCAAGTCTCGATCGTATCGAAGGCTTTCTCATAGTCCACAAACATAAGCATACTGGCAAATTATACTCCTCAGTCTTCTGTATAATTTGCCGCAGCGTATGAATGTGGTCTATAGTACTATAGCCTTTACGGAAACCGGCTTGTTCGGGAGGCTGGAAGTCATCAAACCTGCGTGCGAGACGTTTCGTGATCACCCTCGAAAAAAGCTTATAAATATGGCTCAGAATTGAGATGGGTCTGCAGCAAGGTGACAAAACCTTGCTCTTCTGCAAGGTTTTGTCGCCTTTCTTGAAGAAGAGGACCACCATGCTTCCGTTCCATGGTTTGAGCGTAGTACCCTTGAACAGGACGGAATTGAAGAAATACTGAAGGACTTTCAGTACCGGTGTTCCACCCGCTTTCAGAAGCTCTGATGTAATTCCGTCCTACCCGCCGCCTCGTTGTTCTTAAGCTGCTTGAGGGCCATCCTAATCTCGAACAGGCTAATGTCGGGGATATCTTCTGTATAGTGTCGAGTTAGTTTGGCTCTTGGATCTTTAACCAAATCGTCAACAGACTTGGCGCTCGCAACAGGCTTATGAAACGTAAAATATCAATAAACGTAAATATCCAAAAAGTGCGTTGATTCTAATTACCTACAGAAACTCAAAATAATATTTGGTGAAATGTTTTGTTTGACTTATACAGATTAACTACGCCCGCGTTTTTCTTATTAAAATGAAAGATTTTTACGAGTCAAAAGGTAGCCGTTTTTAATACAAATCCGTGAGGATTCAGTTCAAACGTCGCGCCTAAAGGGCGGACGCTCAATTTTGCATCGTAGTAACGAAATATCTAAGGTAGAGATAACTATCACATAAAAACTTGTTGGGCCGTCATCCCAGCATTGATAAAAGATCAAAGAGGAAAGTGCGGCATCCAGAAATCATTAACTGTCGCACAAAGAACAACTGTCGCACACAAGCCACCGAGGCGAACGTTAATTCGCTCTGTAAACAGCCATTATGTTGAAGATAAGCAATAAAATGTCGTCCCTTAATTGTGCCCGGTAATTATAAGACACAGGGAGCAGTGTATATAATTAAAACGAATGAAGCATTGCCCGCCGCTCTAGTCTAGTGATGTAGCTCTAATGAGCCACTTGCTAATTAGAGAATAAACAAGCCGGATACGGGATTCTAATTAGCTTTTGGGCCAACCGTGTCGTTGCACAGTCATACTTTAGAGACGACGAAAAAACTGACAATCACAGACAATGTTCGCGCTTTTTATTCAGTACCAAATTAATACCAAAACGTGCCCTCGAGCCATTTGTCATTTTATATTGTTAAAATTGTGGTGTAATTCTTGTGGAATTGGAACAATCGAAATATAAACGACGATTTCGAAATGATCTCTTGTACTTAATCGTACACTAACAGTTGTTAAATAAAACTATTTCTCACTTTTATTTTAATTTTAAACTCCCCACGGTTCGACCTCGAACCGCGATGAAATTCTTAAAATAATTTTAATTAATGTCATAATTTGCAGACAGGTTTTTCCTACAGATTAAGAAATTCAAATTAGTACACTTTCTGTTCATACATTATCGTGTTACGTATAATTGTTGTATTTTCTTTAATTAGCCATCGACTGTATTTCCTTCGTCTAATGACAAACACAATCGCTTTGGATTAATAATCGTTAATAACACCAGCTTTTCTTTCAACTTATTTACGAGAAGCAGCTGCGTTCTATAGAAGTTTTTTTTTTAATTTTCACATTAATGTTTTGATTAGAATGAATTTTGGATTTCACTTTGTATAATTTTCCCATTTCTTAATTATTTGTTTTGTATTAACATACTTATTTACTTTTTTCATTACTGGCTGATTTAATTTAATATGTTCTTTAGTTAATACTTTTGTGCATCAATATTTAATTTATTCTATTGAATATTAAAATTAATTGAATATTGATACAAAATACATATTACCATAATTGGTAGAGAAAATATTATCTGTAGCTTTCTTGACAGAAACAATGAATCATTCCTTATCATGACGCCTACTCTGTTACATTATAATTTAAATTTGAACTACGGACCAATTAAAAAAATGTTTTCAATGGATGACATTGTTATTAATAACAAGATCAGCGAGTGTATCTTTAAAAAATGTCATGTTCATTTAAAATTTTCCCAATATTGGATGCTTTACATTAAACTAATAATATAATAATCTCAATCTCCTAATAATAATAATCTCATTATGCATGTATTGAATGACTCCGAGTTTTTTTATGGTGTGAATGTTTTTGCATAAAATATAGATAGATATCTATTTATATTGCAAACCAATTTAAGTTCATTTCAATAATTTTCAAGCGCGATATATTAACCAATACTCATCTGTGTTGGTTCATTAATGCACTTGATTGTCTAATTGATATGAATTAACATTTAATTAATAAAAAAGCTTAAATAAAAAACAATTAACCTTTAATTTAATTGCAAATGTATTTCATAAAGACAATTGCCTCTACGTTCATAATATTAAGAGCTATAACAATTTACAAATTTGTACGTAAACGAAATATAGTAATGAAATTTTTTAAACAATTTGTAATTATATATTGAAATATGTGTCATATGCTGTTTTCAACAACATTTTTGTAATATCAATTCTTATTGGATTGCTTCTAGATGCTATAGTTTAAGCGATTGATAGTTTACAAATATATTTTACACATATTCGACGCGGGTATTTAAAACTTTGACTACTTTTGAAAAGTTAAAAATTCGAACGCCAATTGCGTGCGTATCTAACTCCTAACACAAGTTTTAATTTACTATTCAACCGTCACATTATCAATACATTTGATAATGTTAAATGAATTACGCAGCTGTGGCATAATTATTAAAGCCACACACCGATAGAACTGTGCACGGAACAGACTAAATTATGCCAATTAAAATTCCCGATACACATTGTTGCATTTTCTTTTGATTGCCTATTTTATTACAATGCAATAACCGAACGGTTTGTTTCGCACGTTAATAATAACCTTTTCTTCCGTTGTCGAGCGTTGTCACGTTTAAACAAACCGTGTCAAAATAAAAATAAAACATTTTAGATAGATCCGAGAGAAGTTAGAATTTCGCGTTGCCGCTAATTCGAGCGCAACTCCTAATTGGTTCAGAAAAGGTTTCCAGACGCTTTAAAAGGCTGCAAAACCTAGTATCTGGTACGCGGCGGAGCTGCGTAGATTATTAAGGGGACCGCTTCAAAGCTGTCGCCGCATTACACTAATTGATGCAATTAGAGGGATTGCCGAACGGAAATAAAAGTCGGGCTCACCTTCATGAAACGCCGGCCCCACCAATTAGCCTGGCAGCGCGTAATTAGCCGTTGCCAGTTCTCCGCGACGGGACGCCTCTTCCACTCAGTAACAGTCACAGCACAAGAGAGTTGTGTTCATTTTTATTCACGAACTCGCAACGGACAGTTCGCCGCGGCGGCGAAAAAGTTTCTTGCGCGATCGTAGCCCGCGGACCGGGAGCTGAGTAGACGTGCGTTCACCGCGGGCGGCCGAGTGCGAATGAGCGGGAGGCAGCGCCACTAGGCGGGGAGTGTTGCCCTTCCTTTTCCCGCGCCAAAGCTCGCTCATTGCGTAGCTTTTCCCGTGCACGCCGCTTGTCGCGTTCTGCCACTGGGGCGACGCTTAACGCCGTAAGTGGGCAGATTGTGCGGTATTGCATTTAGGCCTAAATAAAAACCGATACCGAATCGAATTACGGACGGACCGCCGCACATCCGCCGTATCCGCGGTCCGTATGCAAATCCGCCGCGGACGGCGCGCCCTTCTACGATCTATTTATCTATCTCACCAATTAGCGACGTACTAAATGAAGAAAGCGATTGAAATCACACTAATGTCTTGTGTTAAAATCGTTCCTTTCAAAGTTGTAATTCACGTTTAGAGTCCGTCTTTAATGAACGAGGAGAGAAAAGGCGCGATTGCGAATATTCGTATCGGCTCATTGTTTATTTACGCGTCGGAAACGCGACCGCAAAAAGTTCTCATGCAATTCTAGAGTGCGTTCCGCTAACTCACGGGCTGTGCGCCATTCATCATTGATAAAACTAGTTGGTGACACCTCGCTCATTGCGGCAACCCTATGCCGACGGAGGGTCATCCCCGTTGCACTCGAATCCATTGTCGCAGCTATTGAAGCGACATTCAATACTGCCCTTTATCGGAGCTGGTAGCTTTGATATTCAACTCTTGTGTTGCCTAATCCCGCTTTTGTTGAACAGTTTGGATTCATAATGAGTCCAAGCATATGCACCAGTAAAGCGCGAAAATGATTAAAGATTTTTGCGGAAACTGGTTGATTGATTTTCATTTTGTAAAGCCATTTAGTATTTTTGTATTTTAGCGCAGGGTTTGCGCATTTCTCCTTTTTGCATTTCTCCTGCTTTTACTATTTTACCGATAATAGTTCTTACAATTAACAGTATCCGTGGCATAGAACGGAGTACATTATATTACGTCCTCATATCCCGGATTATCGACTACTTATTGATTATTATTGGTTTTATATATCTGAGCTGTATTTGCTTCGGCAGTACATATACAAAAATTGGAACGATACAGAGAAGATTAGCATGGCCCCTGCACAAGGATGACACGCAAAATCGTGAAGCGTTCCACATTTTTCTTATTTTTCAGAGTTATTACCTATTTCAAAGGAACGTTGTCGTGATTATTGGAGTGAATATTTTGATGAGAGGTCGCTTATGAAAGGAATATGGTACAAAACAATTCAGCCAGTTATTTGCCGTTTCCCATGGTTTGCAGATTCCAAAATGGGCAGGTCGGAGATTGTAATCGCTCTAAGACTTCGATCTGGGGACATACCATTGACTACCTTCGGATTTCTAATGAAGAAAGTTATATCGCCTAAATGTAACCAATGTGAAATAATTGAAGATGTGTACCATATCATAGTGGAATGTGTAAGGGTTGAAGCCGAGAGTTGTGAATTCATGTCTAAAACGTTATATAATAGATTAGATGTTGGTTTTTGTAATAGTGTATTAGCTTTTCCAACTTCTGGAGATGCTAGAACACTATATAATATTGTTAAAAAATGTTTAAGCAGGCGTTAATTTTTTGTTTAAGTATTTATGTAACAACTAAGTTTGTACTATGAGGGTGATATTTACCTACGTGTGTAAAAACCCTCTTTAATAAAATAAAATAAAATAAAAAATATATCTGAGCTAATAAAAACAAAATTGATACAAAATGGCGAAAATTAAAAACAAATAAAACGGACTTCGCGCAATTTTAAACAAAATTGATCGTAGATAATAATCATTTGGTGGACCGATGACCTGAGAAAGGTCGCTGGTAGTGGCTGGATGAGGAAAGCGGAAGATCGTGCTATGTGGCGTGCCCTTGGAGAGGCCTATGTCCAGCAGTGGACTGCAAAAGGCTGATTGGATTGGATTGGAATAATCATTTTGCGTATCTAAGGCTTTGTATAATATATAAATTAAATGTATTGACTCATAAATTATTTTCATTCATTTCAAATCTACAGTGATAAAAATTTTAGATAAATATATATTTATTACGTATTTATTCTTCACTGCTATTTGAAAATGAAATTAGGAGTGCAAAAAGCGAATAGTATGCTTCTTATTCTTTATGCATTCTTTCCCAGTCAACCCGATGACGTGTAATGTTATTACTTGAATAATTAAATAACATATTATTATAATGGTTATGATTAAAATTGATTATCAGTGCTAGTCTCTCAATGACTCAAGATGAAACTTAAAATGTGAACTATTGATAACCTTCTTTACGCAGAAGACGCATGTTTGATCCCCGTAGCACCGAAGGTTTCTATTCATTTATCTACATTTAAAAACATATAGAATGTTTAACTAGAGAAAATATTATTTAACTTCATGTAATGTTGTGTTGAGAAAGGCATTCCTTGTGCTTCCCAAGTGTTATGTAGCGCTGATTCGACTGGACCATCGGTCTTAGCAAACACAAGCGCAACACAGCGCTTGTGTGGCGATGATTGGTCGTTTTCCCGTTGGACAAAGTAGTGAGCGCGTCTGTTTACATTGAAATGGAGTATTCCAACGGCGTATCGAGCTGAAAAACGTGCCGTTTAAATTGTAAACACTCATCATGGTAGTGTTTAGACTCCGTAATTAAAAATGTCTGTATTCGTTCAAAACACTCAGTGTCTGGTGGTAAATTACATGCTCCGTAGACGGCTGACAGAAACAATCGCGGTTTGGGAATAAAGAAACAATTTTAAGGCAAATGTCCGTCAACAGGTCTTCAACAAAACTACTGTATACAATAGCCCACATAATAACTTTTCCCGCACTAACAGGCTCTTGCACGAAAGTAAAAGCATTTACATTTTTGCTTTGCGTCCGGTGATTGAGGTAACTTTAGGTAAGTTGAAGCAAACACTCAGTTACCATCCCTGATACAGTCAGTGCCATCAGGTAAACAGTTGCCGTCTCTTTAAAATAACAAATAAACTCTCTGTCCCTCTTTTTCTACGGATAGTAGGTGTGATGAAAAATCTGTATAGTAATCTCTGTGTTCCAGGTACAGTCGAACGCACGTGATTCCTTAACCAGAAAGTGACGCGTGTCCCACGTTAGCCGGGAAGTTCACAGTCATTAGCATATCTGCAGCACATAGTACTATTTCAACGTCAAGGATTTCGTATTCAACAGATGGCGGTGTATTATAAGGAATTAACGGTGCCATAAAATAATGAACACAGGAAGAACACGATAGGAATACTCATTAGGATTTTTTGTGTATTGTTTAATACGTAGAGGGATTATGAATGTTCAAGCTACGGTCGATTAGGTGTAAATTTTTCGACGTCTTACCGTCGGATTGGTTGATGAACAGTTATCTGAAGACAGGTAATATTATGAAAATTTAATTTTATTCTTGAATTTCAAAATTTAAAGTTTAAGGTGAAATTTAACGCTGCATAATCGACTATTATAACTACAAAATACAAATGTTATGAATAAAGTTAATCTTTAATCACCCACACATGTGTACACATAAAGCGTAACTGTGAATTTCAGTCTAAAGAATATGTAATTTAAAATAAAGTACCCGTTAGTAGGTAATACGTTTGTAGGTTTTAGTTTCATAAATTGTACATATATACCTATAACTTTTTCATATAATAGCTTTAGTGTTGATTCGTTTTGATATAGCTCTTTATCTAGTTACTCAAAAACAATATTATTATTTAATTTACTTTAGATTTAATTTTATATTTTTATTTGTAGGTGTAGTGTTTATCTTTAAGTTACTGTTACTCTAATGTATGTTAAATCTTAAGTTATTTACTGATAGTTTTAAGAAGTATCCAGTGTAAACAATTGTTGATAAACCTTTTAATGTAAATAAATAAAATAAAAATTGACGGCCCGTCCGTCAATTGAATGAAAAATTTAATGCCAGTTAATGTCAATAGATATTTCAGAACTCTGCTTTTAATGCCTCCATATTTTTATTTTACTATAGCAGCAGTAAGAAAAATTTCTCTTTTAAATCAAGTAATAATCAACTTTCTTTGATAGAATAATTTCATGTGATAATACAATTACCGCGCATTATTGAACACCACCGCCTTCCTTTCCTGGACTCTAGTAACAGCAATGTGAACCCTACACTAAATGCTCCGAGAAAGTATCCAATGACCAATAAAATCAACATTTAGATGTTAGCGTCAATATCTTTGTGACAGGCGATTTCCGTCGATAGCTTTTTTTATAAGTTGACAACAAGAAACGAAAAACCGGCCAAGTGTGAGACGGGCTCGCGCACAAAGGGTTCCGTATTATCCATAATAATTGGTTACTTACCAATTATTATGGATAATACGGAACCCTTTGTGCGCGAACAACCTTTAAGTTGCCTTGCAACTATTGCCTAGGAACAGCCTCGCGTTTGTTATATGGGAGCCCCCTTAGATATTTTTATTTTATTCGTTTTATTTAGTATCTGTTGTTATAGCGGCAACAGAAATACATCATCTGTGAAAGTTTCAACTCTAGTCTTAACTAGCACGGTTCATGAGATACAGCCTGGTGACAGACGGACAGACAGACAGCGGAGTCTTAGTAATCGGGTCCCGTTTCACTCTTTGCGTACGAAACCCTAAAAACACCTTAGAATATTTCTGGTTCAACTTTGAGAGTCCAGGACGGTCCTGCTTCTTAGGTTGCCATCCTGCCGTCAGTTTTTAAAACAGGATCTCCTGCATTCACTCAATTAAGTCGCCGTAAAAGGGGTGCCGTAAAATTTGATTTATCGCCGCCGGCATGAATACATTCAATTAAAATGAACTTTAAGTGTGTACTACAAATAACATTGAAATATCAGTGCAGGTTTTTGGAGTACCGTTGTAACTACGTTTTTTTTTTTGCTTTTCGGCTTAATGAGTTAGTAACATTATATGAATATGAACATTCATAATCTCCGACTGTTTTAATTTATATTATTTTTGTTTGTTTTTTTTGGCTACGGAATAGATTTTACGTGTTGTTGATGAAGCTATTTTACGGATTCTATCGCGTCAGGATTGTTTGGAGGTTATCATTAGTTGTATGCAAAAGTTCTTAAATTAATAATTTAGCTCTCGTTTATGTTCAATGTTCTTTTTTGTTAGCGATAGGCAACAGCGGCGAAAATGGCCACACAACGCAAGCGACGACGCATTTGATTTGTCATTAAGCATAACAGAATGGTTCAATTTAAGGGCGCATGACATGAATACGCTAAAATTCCTAAATAAATCGAAGGGAACGCCTTGCGTTTCTGTATCAATTTGCGATCCATTCAACGCAGGGCACACGGGTGCTGCCAATGTCTCAAAGTACATTTATATCGACAGAAGCGTGCGTTATTTTATTTATGGCAATAAATGATATTATAAATAATAAATATAAACGTACTACTTTGTTATGAAAATATAAAATATATCCATCGCTTTATTCCACGTTAATTTTTGTGGTCTTCGCATGATTTAAAGAAACTTGCAATCACTGGAAGGACGAAAGAAAAATGACTTAAATGTTAAAACCCAAGGAATGCTCGAATCAGGTGTTTGAAAATCTTGGTACAAATTAACGAAAAATTGAC